CGGTTAGTTTTTTAGTAGAGACAGGGTCATTCTCTTGCTCAGCCTGGTCTCCAAATCCTGAGCTTAAGCAGTCTACCCACCTTGGCCTCCAGAGTGCTAGGATTACAGGTATGAGCCACCTTCCCCAGCCTAACATATTAATTTAAAACAATCTACTTCCGATTAATTCTGATTTAATTTCAATGCTATTTTAAATCTTTCCTCTAATAAAGCTCCATTCCCTATTCCTTTCTGCTGTTTTTGTTGTGCAAATTAAATCTTTATACATCATAAGCTCTTCTGCATAGCTTGGTAATTATTATTTTATGCTGCTGTCTTTTAAATCAGATAGGTGGAAAAAAGAGATACAAACAAAAATACATATACTGTCTTTTATATTTACTACATCATTAATTTTTACCAGTACTCTTTCTTTCTTTATAGTGGATTCAAGATAGAGTCTAGGGTCATTTTATTCTATCCTGAAAGACTCCCTTTAGTATTTATCATATGGTAGATCTGGTAGCAATGAACTCTCTCATTTTTTGTTTATCTGGGAATGTCTTAATTTCTCCCTCACTTTCTTGTTTGTTTGTTTAAGGAGAAACTTACTTTCTCCTAGTGTGAAAGCTAAAGTCCCGAGGTGACGGTGCTGGCAGGACTGGTTTCTTCATAGCTTCTCTCGTCAATCCCATGACCCTCCCTTTTGTGTGCACACCCTGTGGCCATCTTCACTCTTGAGGGATAGTTTTGCTAGATACAGAATTTCTATTGAACACTTTTTCATTTAGCACTTTGAATTTGTCACCTCCCTGCCTTTTGGACTGTGTGATTGTATACTGATGTGCTTGATAGGATCCCCTAGGTCGCTAAGGCTCTATTGATTTTTCTCTATTCTTTTTTCTTTCCATTCCTCAGATGGGGTAATCTCAGTTAATCTATCTTCAAGTTTGCTGATTCATTCTTCCTGCCAGCTCAAATATGGTATTGACCTTTACTAATGAATCATACATTTTGGAGTTTTTTTTTGAGATAGATTCTCACTGTGTTGCCCTCACAGCTCACAGCAACCTCAAACTCTTGGGCTTAAGTGATTCTCTTGCCTCAGCCTCCCAAGTAGCTGGAACTATAGGCACCCACCACAACACCTGGCTATTTTTTGGTTGTAGTTGTTTCTGTTGTTCAGCAGGCCCACGCTGGGCTTGAATCCTCCAGCTTTGGTTTATGAGGCTGGCGCCCTACTTAGTGAGCTGTGGG